GCTTCAACAAAATCAGTAGTAACCTGCAAGGTGCAACTCCCACAGGTACTAGTCCCCAACAACTCCCTCTGGCCAATCATAGTACAGGAGCATTTAATCTTAGCAAGTCCCAGGCATATAAAACTAGAACTGTAAGTAAGAGGCCATCTGGTTACCCCATCTTTAAAAAATATTATTAATATCCTTTTATTTTTAAAAGACCTACATTTCGCAGTGTATCCCCTCTCCCTCTACTAGAGAACAAGCCCTTAAAAGAGGAGGAAAAAAACAACTAATTTAAATACACTAACCCACATATCAAAAAAGTCTGACATTATACGCAGTGCTCCATACCCATAGTCCCCACCCCCATACACATACCCTGCAAAGAAACAAGACCAACACCCTCATTTTACAGGGGAAACTGAGACCTAGAAAGGTTGGAAGAAGTTAGAAGAAGGCTCAAAAGACATATGGTCCAACTACACCTGTGTAGGAGACCTAACTACAAGATCCCTGACAAATGATCACCCAGGTTCTGAAGATCTCCATTGACAGAGATCTCACTACACAAAAAGAGTCAAACTCAGGGCCCTCTCTGAAGAATCCCGGATTTTGTCCACCTAAATGCACCCCAATACCAGCCTCCGAAGGGCTCTCCCAGAGACTGGAGTCCCAGGTAAAGCTAAATGCAGTATACATCCGCCCCTTGCTGGCCATTCTGTAGTACTGCCCTCATTGCTACCTGAACTGGGCTCAGGGAGTGATTTTGTGACGGACCTTCTCTGAATGCTCTCAGGATGTCCTAGAACCTTGTGTGCAAACTTGATTTGTCCAGACAGGATCCCAAAGCCTTATAGGATCAGCTCAGAGTCATCTGATCTTTATTTCTAGCCACCCTTTAACAGTGAAGTGCTCCCAGGCATGGCTCCTGTCCTGGTCTGAGGATGGAGGCCTGGTCCCTCACCTAAAAGAATGAGCCCTGCTGGATTTAGAGGGGCCTGGGTTCAAATCCTAGCTACATGGCCCCCAACTTCAGAAATGTCCTAGGGACAAATCGGCTTCCCTCTAGTCTCCAGGCTGGGAGAAAGGGACAGGCCAGATCATTTAGATGGAAGTGGGTGGACTCAGCCCTAGGTCTATTCCCAGATGCTCTGAGGGGGAGGGTGAGTGAGCAGAAAGGGCACACCTGTGTGACCTTGACAGGCAGGTCATGTTAATTCTTGGAGCCACAGTTTACACATCTGTAAAATGTGGGAAGTTGGACGAGATGACCTCAAAGCTCTTTCCAATTCTAAATGCTATGATTTTTACGATCTTTGGTTTTAGGAGGGAGATAGAGCCCCTACCCTTAAAACAATCCCATGAAAGAAGTAAGAAGGGAAGGAAGAAAGGAAGGAAGGAAGGAAGAAGAATGAAAGTGAGCTGTTAGACAAGGAAGAGGAAAAGTAGGAAGGAGCAGTGGAAGCCAAGTGAATTAATACTTAATTTATGAAATTATGAAATAAGGCAGGTACACTTGGTTCTTTGGGTACTCCCTGGGAAAAAGCACAATGGCAGGTCAGAGTTGTGAGGAGGCAGATTTAGGCTTGGAGTCAAGAAAAACTTCTTAATGTTGAAGCTATCCAAAAGTGGAATCAGTTTGCTTGGGACAGTTAGATAGATAGATAGATAGACAGACAGACAGACAGACAGACAATTGGATGGATGGATGGATAGATAGATTGGAGGGCAGAGCAATAAACTCCTCCCAAGCCTTCCTTTACAGAGGGCTCTGAACTTTCAGAATCTTCCAAGTAACTCCATTTTCCATCAGCAGCTCTGCTTGGTTTCAACTCCAGAGAACATCATGCCCCGAGGCCAGGTACCCCCTAGTAGTACCCTACCAACCCCCCACATACACCCACCCCTGTCCCTCAATATTATATTGTAAGCTCCTTGAGGGCAAGGACAGTCATTCTAATTTGTAGCCCCAGTGCTCATTAAAGTGCTTGACACATAGTATGAGCTTAATGAATGTTTTGTTAATTGATGTTTAGCATTGAGGAGAAACAACTCAGGAGGAATAGAGTATATAGCTCCAGTATTGAAAGGTCCTTTAATGTTTGTAGAGTGCTTTGCAAATCTTCTCTCCAGCCCTAAATACTCCCATGCCCTCAATGCCCTGCCCTCCCCTTTCTCTCTCCGTCTCTATATCCTCCATGGGGCCTCCCCCCTTCTAGTCCCCTTGATCCCTCCAGCTCTGCTCCCTCCTAGCCCTCTCTGTGAAACCTGAGCCATATTCACTCCTCCCCAGGTCTTCTCCCTCCCATACCTATTCAGTCCTCACTTCTCCCAACCTTGTTCACCACTAGTGCTCCCCTTCCCTCCCTCTCATGCCACCTCCCCCCAGATAGCCCTTTGCCCCTGCCATGTTTCTCTCTAATTGCTCTAGTGGACCTAACACTGATAGGCATTTGTCTCATGGACCTGTGCCAGCCAGTTCTGGCATTCATGATCTTCAAGGGGATTGTGGAAAGTATGTGGAGTCAAGAAGGGATAAGGAATAATCAGATGGGACGATGAAAGGGCACAGAGTAAGGACTGAATAAAAAAGTATATTAAATGAACTGAATATTTTATTGAATGAATTCAGGAAGGAAAGCTTAGGTTATACAATATCAACTGAGCTCTCACTATTGCTAGGCAATCCTACTATACCTCCCTTATCACCTCACTCTCCATAGCGGCTCTTTCAAATTTTTTCATCCTTTATCAAACCTCCCATGGTTCCCCCTTCTCCCGTTCTATCAGCTGAGAACTTTGCCTCATATTTTACAGGAAGAAAAATCGAGGGCATTTATGATGAACTCCCTCTTCTCCCCTCTTTTTCATCTCCTGCCACTCAGATGCCTTTGGCCACTGTCTCCTCCTTCACCCCTGTTTCACATGATTAAGTGGCCTCAGTCCTTACCAAGGCTAACTCCTCAATTGATCCCATGCCATTCCACCTCCCAAAAGATCGTCTCTTACTTATTATGCTGTCATTCCTACTCTGTCACTTAGCTGGTTCTGTACTGCCTACAAACATGTTCCTACCTCCCTTATTGTCAAAAAATCCTCACTTGATCCTTCCATCCTTGAAAACTATCATCATATATCTCTTCTGCCCTTTGTAGCTAAACTTGAAAAGGCTGTCTATAATAGGTGCCTCCATTTTCTCTCCTCTCAGTCTTTTCTTAATTCCTTACAATCTGGCTTCTGACTCTATCATTCCACTGAAACTGCTCTCTCCAAAGTTATCAATGATCTCTTAGTTGCCAAATCCAATGGCCTTTTCTCAGTCTTCATTCTCTTAGACCTCTCTGCAGCCTTTGATGCTGAAGATCACCCTCTTCTCTTTGATACCCTCTTCTCTTCAGGTTTTCAAGATGCCACACTTTCTCCTGGTTTGCCTCCTATCTATCTGATCACTCCTTCTCCATCTCCTTTGCTGGATTCTCATCCAGAGCATACCCTCTAACCATAAGTGTCCCACAGTGTTCTGTATTGGGCCCTCTTCTCTTCTCCCTCTATGTTATTTTTCTTGATGATCTCATCAGCAACCTTGGATTTAATTACCATCCCTACGCTTCTGATTCTCAAAGCTACCTATCCTAACCCAATTTCTCTGCTGACCCTCCAGTTTTGCATCTCCAACTGCCTTTCAGACATTTTGAATTGGATGTCCAGCAGACATCTTAAACTCAGTATGTTCAAAATGGAACTCATTATCTGTCCCCCTAAATCCTCCCCATCTCCACCTCTCCTATTACTGTAGTGGGTAACACCATCCTCCTAGTTCCTGAGACTTGAAACCTAGGAGTCATCCTGAATTCCTCACCATCTCTCACACATTCTGCACCATCCCCCCTGCCCCACCCATCCAAGCTGTTGCCATGGCCTATCAAGTTCCCTTCTGTAATAATATCAAATACATCCCCTTCTTTCCTCTGACACTGTCACCACTGTTGCAGTAGTGTGATGGTGGGCCTGCTGGTCACAAGTCTTTCTCCACTCCAAGTCATCCCCTATTTAGTGACCAAAGTGATTTTCCTAAAGCTCAAGTCCAACTATGTCACTGCCCTATTCAGTATACTCCAATGGCTCCCTATTGCCTCTAGGATCAAATACAAACCCTCTGTTTGGCATTCAAAGCCCTTCATAACCCTACCCCTAACTTCTACTCTTCTTACACCTTACTCCCTACTACGAACAAGACGCTCTCTCTCTCTCTCTCTCTCCTCTGGGCACATTCTCTGGTCGTCACCAAGGCCTGGAATGCTTTGCCTCCTTATTGCTGCCCACTGGCTTCCTTTAAATCCCAGTTACAATCCCATCTTCTACAGGAAGCCTGTTTTTTTTATTTTATTCTTTTTATTAATTGTTTTTGATTTATCAATAATCACTTCCATAAGCTTTTGAGTTTAAAATTTTTCTCCCCCTTCCTCCCCACCACCCTCCCCAAAATGGCGTACAATCTGATATAGGCTATACATTTACTTTCATATTAAACATATTTTCACATTAGTGATGTTGTAAGTAGAAATTAAAATCAATAGGAGGAACCATCAGAAAGGAAACAAAACTCAACAGAAGAGAAAAAAATAACAATTCAGCTTTACAGGAAGCCTTTCTCAACCCCTTTGAATTCTAGTGCCTTCCCTCTCTTATTTACTTCCTATTTATCCAGTATATAGCTTGCTTGTACCTAGTTGTTTGTTTGTTGTCTCTCAGGTTTGAATGTGAGCTCCTTGAGGGCAGGGACTGTCTTTTGCCTCTTTTTGTGTTCATAGTGCTTAACACAGTGCCTGGCCCGTAGTAGGTACTTAATAAATGTTGACTGACTAACTGGATATAGCAACATTTCCTCTCCTCCATTAGTTTGGACCAGAAGCTGATATTCCATGGTTCCTTCCTGCTTTTGCTTTGAATTCCAGGTTCTTTCTACCATGCCAAGGCAATAATTCATCCACTCTCAACTCCCCATTAAGTCTACTTACTGAGATAGGAAAGTAGTCTGCCAGGTACTTCCACACACGCCATTGCTTTATGGTCTGGCTCTGTCTCCCACCTTTCCTTGGGGTGTCTCTGTCCAGGTACCACCAGGCTGAATAGAGGATGCTGAGGAACCAAAAGCGGGTGAAGAGGAGCCCAATGAAGATGACTGTGCAGACTACGCCTGGGAGAAGAGGACATGCAGTGCGGTCAGCATGGCGGCTCAGGCCCAAGTGCCCAGCTCAGCAAAGGCAGATGCTTAGGTCAGGGTGGTCTGAGCATGAGTCAGGTGGCCTTTTTTGGTAATGAGTGTCCTGTCATGGGAGGTCTTTAAGCAGAGATTGGATGACTCCATCAGGGAGGTTAGAGAGGAGACGCCTGCATTGGATGGGAGGGTACACTAGAATAAGTATGAAGCCACAAACACTGATAGTCAATAGTCAAAGGTTCCTTCCAGTTCTGCTAATCTACATTCTATGTTCTAGGGTCACTGACACTCCATGTTCTGTGATCTAAGGTAATCCTGAAGCAGCATAATGAGGTAGAAAGAGCACTGGGCTTAGCATCAGAGGACTTTGATTCCAGTCCCTGGTTCTGCCACTCATTAGCTGCGTGGGCCTGAGCAAATCATTTTATCCTTTTGGGGACTTTGTTGTACCTCCTGCTCACCCGGTGTTGCCCCACCCTCCACCCTGGCAAAATAAGGGCATTAGACAAGGTGAATTCTAGGGTCTCTTTCCTTTTAAAAATTTTTGTGCATATCTTTTATTTTTATATCACCTTAATTTCTAAATATATAACTCCTCCTTTCTGTACCCAGAACCTCATCCCTTATAAGGAAGGAGTGGAGAGGGAGAGAAGGAGAGGGGGAGGAAGAAGAGGAGAGGGAGAGAAAAAGTGAGGGGGGAACAGAGAAGAGAGAGAAGAAGAGAGAAGGGGTGAAAAGAGAGAGAGAAAGAGAGAATAGCAGCTTAGAAAAACTAAGTTACACATCAATTGTGTCTGACAGTATATTTCACCCACCACCAAGGACCCTTTCTTAAAAGTGTTCGCCTTGATACCAATGCAGCCGGGTCTTCTGTTAATCTTGTCAGCATATTTCCCACTCCATGTTCCTAGGGTTTCATATTAGTTACTCAGTCCTTTGATTGTGACTTTATATTTACTCCTTTGCTCCATTGTGTTGCCTGGCTCATCAGAGGCACTCAGAAAATATCTGGTGAATGAATGCATGGGCCTAGAGCAGCCCTCATACAAGCTCCACACTTTGAAAGACACAAATATAAATATAAAGGAAAAAAAATTCCAAGGTAGAGGCTGGATTATCAAATGGGCAGGAACACAGCTAGGGTTAATCAGAGAATGAGGTTTTTTCTTCTTTTTTTATTAATTTCTTTTGATTTATCAACAATCACTTCTATAAGCTTTTGAGTTTTAAATTTTTCTCTTCCTCCCTCCCTGCCTCCCTCCCCGCCTCCCTCCCCAAGATGGCATACAATCTGATATAGGCTATACATATACATTCCTATTAAACATATTTTCACATTAGTGATGTTGTAAGGAAGAATTAGAACCAAAAGGAGGAACCACAAGAAAAAGAAAACAAACCAAAACAGAAGAAAAATAGCAAATAGTATGCTTTGATCTGCATTCAAACACCATAGTTCTTTCTTTGGATGTGGATAGCATTTTCTATCATGAGACCTTTGGAGATGTCTTAGATCCTTACGTTGCTGAGAAGGGTTAAGTCTATCCACGTTAGTCATCACACAACATGACTGTTACTGTGTACAATGTTCTCCTGGTTCTGCTCACTTCACTCAGCATCAGGCCATACAAGTCTTTCCAGGTTTTTCTGAAGTCCACCTGCTCATCATTTATAACAGCACAACAGTATTTCATTACATTCATACACCATAACTTCTTCATCTATTCCCCAATTGGTGGGTATCCCTTCAATTTCCAATTCTTTGCCACCACAGAAGGAGCTGCTACAAATACTTTTGCACATGTGGGTTCTTTTCCCATTTGCATGATCTCTTGGGGATACAGCCCTAGAAATGCTTTTGCTGGGTCAAAGGGCATGCACATTTTTATAGCCCTTTGGGCATAGTGGGAATGAGTTTTAAATCCAGCTTTGATGTCAATTCCTAAGAACACAGGATTCAGAGCTGGAAGGAGACCAGCTGGAAGACTCTTCTAACTCCCTCATCCTTAATAGGGAGTCTTTGGTGAACCTGCTTCTGGAAGTGCCTGATGGCATGGGATGGAGGGACCCTGCTCTCCCCTTCAGAGCATGGTGAAGAAACACACTTTGTATTGGTTGCTGATTTGGAACTGGGTATGCTTTTAGAGGGCACTAACTGACCAAATCTCTCTCTGTCCCTCCCTCCACCACACTTTCCTCCCTCCCCTCCTCTGAGTCTCTCTGTCTGTGTCTTCTCTCTGCCTCCCTTCTATCTCTCCCAGCCTCTCTGCCTCCCCTCCATTCCTCCTCTCCTCCCCTTCTCTCTTCCATGTCTCTTTCTCTGCCCTTCCCATCTCTCTCCTCCTCTCCTCTCCTCCTCTTCCTTCTCTCCTCCCTTCTTTTCTGGCTTTGTTTGAGTGAGGAATTAAGGACTGCATTCTACTCCAAACACACCTGCTCCCAGGACTGAACCCTCATGGACCAGTCCTCTGTTACATACAGATGATGGTGGTGATGGTAGGGACTGAAGTTCAGAGAGATTAAGGAGTTTGCACAACACCAAGGATATGTGTGACCACCAAAGGAAGTGGGTCAGTCACGAAGCTAGTGAAGGTTAAGAGATGAGTAGTCCAAGGCTTTCATGCACACCTTTAAGATTTTAAAAAGAACTAGGTGAAGACAGCCTGCCCACCAGTATTTAATGGAGGATTTTAAAGGCATGGACTAAAATCACCCAAGGAAAGCTATGAGATTTACCTGGTTAGAGGGACTTTCTACCCACTGATGAGATCACTGATCCATCCAAGCAAGTATCTCTTTCTTAGCTTTACCTACTAGATGATGATCTCAAGCAAAGGTCTATTTCTTATTTATTTTCTGTCACATCTGTATTGTCCACTGATAGTTGGCACTAAAGAGATTTAAAAAATATTTATAGCAGCTCTTTTTGTGGTGGCTAAGGATCAGAAATCTAATGGATGCCCATTGATCAGGGAATGGCTAAACAATTTTTAGTATATTATTTTAATGGAATATTATTGTGCTATAAGAAATGACAAAGAGGATTTCAAGCAGATTTCAGAAAAACCTGGAAAGACTTACATGAACTGATGCAAAGTGAAGTGAACAGAACCAGGAGAACATTGTACACAGTGACAGCAATATTGCTCAATGATGAATTGTGAATGACTTAGCTATTCTCAGCAATACAATCATACAAGACAATCCCAAAGGACTAATGATGAAGCCTACTATCTGCCTCCAGAGAAAGGACTGATATTGTTTGAATACAGACTGAAGCATGCTAGTTTTCACTTTCTTTCTTTCATTCTTTCATGATTGCATATGTATAACCTATATCTGATTGTTTACTGTCTCAGGGAGGGGCTGAGGGAGGGAGAGAGTAATAGAATTTGGACAAAACTTTAAAAGAAATAAATGCTAAAAATTGTTTTAACATGTAGTTAGGTGAAATATATATTTTTTAAAAGAAAATTTTTTAAATGAATGGATACAGAAATTTTTTTAATCTCCCTCAGTGCATAATATAGTACACAGGATCATACTAGGTGCTTAATAAATTTTTGCCAAATGAATTAAATGAATGAATAGATGGATGGACGAGTGGTTAGGTGAAAGAATTCAGTGCCTCCTTTCTGCAAAGCCTTGTATCAGGCACTATAGTGGGCTAAAAGAGTAAGTATAATTATTTTCTTTTTGGGGGGTGAGGGTGAAGGGAGGGAGGCAATCAGGGTTAAGTGACTTGCCCAGGGTCACAGAGCTAGCATTTGAACTCCCCCTGAGTCCAGGGTCAGTGCTCTCTCCACTCTGCCACTGAGCTACCCCAGAACAATTGTTTTCTATCAAGTAATTCTTTCTACCCTCCCTGGTAAGCTTCAAGAGCCCATATTCTCCCTCAGTACCTCAGATTTTCCCTCAGTTATCTTTATCTAAATCCTGCCACAGAGGACAGAGCTAATCACTGCCTTCTGTACAAAGTTGAAGACCTCACATAAAACTTGACTTACCCATCTCTTAAGCATGTTATTGGGTAATATTGTGTGAAATACTTATCCATGTTCGTGTATAATCCTCCTAATATAAAAAGCTGCATCATAATGGGGCAGCTAGGTGGTACAGTGGATAGAGTGCTGGTTCTCAAAGTCAGGAAGACTCATCTTCCTGAGTTCAAATCAGGCTTCAGATGCTTACTAGCTGTGACTCTGGGCAAGTCATTTCACCCTGTTTGCCTCGGTTTTCTCATCTATAAAATGAGCTGGAGAAGGAAAGGACAAACCCCTCCAGTATCTCTGCCAGAAAACCCCAAATGGAGTCACAAAGAGTCAGACACGACTGAAAACAACTAAACAGCAAAAAAAACAACCTCCATAAAGGTGCGATTGTCTTATCAACCAGACTTGGGGGAGCTTCCCTTGGAAGACATCACTTGAATATAGTCTCCCTATACATAACTAAGAAAACTCAGCAGGATGAGAAAGAAGAAGAAATTCCATTCAAAGTAACTAGAGAAATATAAATTATCTGGCAATCCACCCAGTAAGATGCTTTCAGGACTTACATGAATACAACTACAAAACATTTTTTTTTCAGGTATTAAGGAAGACATATTTTTAAGATGAATCAATCAAATAAAAAACATTTATTAAGCACTTACTATGAGCAGTGCACTTTGCTAAACATTAGGGATGCAAAGACAGGTAAGAGAAAACCCCTCAAAGGGCTCACATTCTAGTAGAGGAAGAGAATGCCTAATTAGGTACATACAAGATATACAAAGAGTAGATGGGAGGTAATTTTAAAGAAGAAGACACTAACAGCTGGAAAATCCAGGAGAGGCCTCCTGCAGATGGCAGGATATGAACTGAGGCTTGATGGAAGCCATGGAAACTATGAGGTGGATGTGAAGAGGGAGAGAATTATGGGCACAGGGACACACCCAACGCAAAGGCAAATATAGAATGTAAAGATAGAAGATG